GATGGCAGCGGCTGGGAAGTCTCTTTTCTGACGCCCTGCAGGCTGGGCTTCCTACCACCCGGCAGCCCTTGCCAAATCCCTCCCTTCCAGCCCGATCCTTCCAGTCCCAGCCTTTGGATTGCCTTAAAAGGACACAAACTGTTTCTCTCCAGAGCCTGTTTTTTCCCCCCTGCGCCAGGAAGAGGGCTCGACCTGGGTCAGGAGTTTCCTTGGAGGGCAGAAACATCCAGCGGCATCCCCCTGCCAGCCCAGGCAGCCGAGATGCCCACGCCTGCTCGCCATGGGAGCCCACCAGCCTCTTTTGCCCCCCTGCCCACCTCTGTCAGACCCCTTGTGGGGAATAGTAAGACACTGGCTATAGTTTCTCTGGGTCCCCCATCCCTTTCTAAACATGACACCTGGCAGACCCCACCTCCGGGACTCACAAGCCATGATTTTGGTGGGCAGCCTCATGCCCCAGTACTCTGCCATCACTCCCTGCTCCACAGCCAGGGCATCTGCCAGCACACTCGGCAACAAACTGCCCGGTGTGGTTTGGAGCCCCTTTGTCTCCACATAACATTCCTCCCCTCTTTGCAGCAGCAGTGAAGGAAGAGGATCTTGTTTGTCCCAAACAGAAGGGTTCATCTGCCCATCTGTAAGCCTACAGGAGGAGAGAAGGTGCTTCCAAGTGAAGCTCATCTAAACGTTTGCCACAAGAGGAGTTCAAGCCCCTCTGCTGCTTATTTTCTTCCATGCAAGGTTGTAGGTGCCTCCGCAGAGTTTAAACAATGTCACTGTGGTTTCGGCAGGTCACTCTCACCGTGAAGCAACCACAGACACAGCCCTGGCAAAGCCACATCCCAGACAGACCTCCTGGCACACACCAGAATGGATTTTCTGTGGGGAGAGACCGTGAAAACGAGCTTGTCCCAGGGACACGTGGGCTTGTGAAAGCTCACAGCTGGGCACGGAGAAAGCCTGAGATAAGATGTGAGATGCTGGGAACTCCCTCTTAGTCCACAACCTATGCAGGCACATGCTGAGAGCCTGGCAAGCCACAGCGGAGACCCAAGGCAGTTTATGCCACAGGTCAGTATAAGCAGGAAAAAACAAAACAAAACAGGCGCACCCTGACCACGGTGCCTGGGACCTGCACCAGCTGCCTCGGAAGCAAAATCCTGACGATATCCACCTAGGCGGATCCATCATCCCAATTCCCATATTAAGGACTACATTAAGATATGTCAGAGAGTTTCCAAACACTTTCAACCATATTCTGTCCAACTGCAACAGTCACTGACCACAGTCACGTTTCTCCAAATCACAATTAGACCCAGGCAGAATGAGGAACAGGAGGTGACTGTCCTGCAGGACAAAGACCTCACTGAGCATAGGGAAGAGAGACACCTGGGGCTGACAAAAACCAAGATTCTTTTCCTTCCTCCTGCAGCTCCACAGCTTCACCGCAAACACTACCAGAGCCCTACCCACAGCATCCTCCGTGCCAGGTGTGGCTCGGCCCTGGGGCTCGTCCATCATCTGCTCCGGATAAGACGACTCAAAACCCAAGACACCAGATATATTGCTGAGAAGCATAGACACAAGTGAGGCTTGTGCCGAACCAGACAAGTCCGATGCTTTTTTTGGGGGATTAACTCTCATTTCAGTGTCCGACGCCTGACTTTACAGCAGTACGGTTCACCAGGTGAAATGTATACTACAGACTTGACCACATTTTGGATGGTCTGGTGTTGCACCAGTTCATCAGGCTAAGGTGCACGAAACAACCAGGCATAAACCAGTATGGAACCAGCATGTCCTGGTGCTCTGGGATGAAATCTAAACCTGTGCTCTAAGTGGAAGCAGTGAGCAAAGCAAACCAAGCCATCCGGCAGTAAGAACACATGGTCACCCTCTCTGTGGGTCGAAAGATCAGTGTGCTCATGTCACTCACACCAAAGCTGACCCAGAACCCTTTTTACCTGCCCGAGAGCTGCTGGTTTTCAACTGCTAGAGCTAAAGCAGGACCCACTGCCACGTGAATGCAGCTTCACTGCTCTGGGAGCACTCAGAGAGTGCACCAGGATATCATTCCTCAACCATTCCAGCTTCTGCAACAGCTGGAAAACCTTACCCACGTACGTGCCCAGATGTTCTACTAAAATCTGACAGCAATTAACTGCAAAGCTATCACTTTGTGCTTTGAGATTGCTGAGGAACCAGAGACACATGCTGGCCCACATGAAAGGTTCTCTTTTATTTCCAATGAGAGCGTTAATACGCATGGATGGGAGAAAAGCACCCCCAGTGCTGCACATAATTCACTCCTGCTGATGTTCCCAGCAGTCCACGCAGGATTACTACACAGCCTGGCAAAGGGAAGAAACCGTAGTAGGAGCCCCAAGCCCTGGGGTCTGCTCACCACCTTCCAGTTTCGAGAGCAGCTGGCATAGCCATGAAACAAGCAGAAATTTGAAGAAGGACAGAGGAGGTATGTGGGCAGAGAAGAAGAGAATCAGCTCAAGGGGATACACGTAACACCTTGCAGGAAATCACTGGGGCAGAGCGTCAGGGCTCCAAGACCAGTAACTGAGCAGCCTCTCAGGAGCAGAAAGCTGAGCTCAGTCACTCCAGAAGCAGAGTTCAGGTACTGCCATCCAGGATGGAGAGCCTGAAGCTGGACAGACAGTCCCCACCGACCTGCAGGAGCAGGGAAGGCATTACCCCGTCTGCTTTGCAGCAGCAAGCACTGAGCTGCTCGTTAAGCAGCCGGTCCTCCCCAGGGCCACAGCAGTCACAGACATCATCACACCTTTCCAGCTTGATCACCAAAAGAGCCAGGAGGTGTAGCACCCAAAGCCAATCTCAAGCCTAATACTATTTTAGCACTTGTACCTTCTCATCCAGTCCATCTCTCCCTGTATCTAACCCTGCGACTCGGAAGCATCCGGTATTTTTGCCAAGTGCTAATTAACACCTCTCCTACGTGCTGGCCCCGCTGCCGGCTCTGAGGTTTGGAAAGCAGCACCTGGAGCAGTGCTTGTGCCCAGCCAGGCCCTC